ATCCATCCATCCATCCATCCATCCATCCATCCATCCATCCATCCATCTTTCATCCATACATCATCATCTCTGGTCTTGGGGGCAGCATCTTGAGCAGGGAGGCCCAGACATCTCTTTCCACAGCCACCTCTTCCAGCTCTTCTGGGAGGACTCCAACATTCCCAGACCAACCAACAGACACGTCTCTCCAACGTGTCCTGGGTCTTCCCCAGGAAAATGTTGAACTTTCCTCGCCCAGATATCGAAACTTCTCACCTAATCTCTATGACCCTGGTAGGTTTTCCCAAGGCAGACTGACCCTAGGTGATAGGCCAGACAAGGAGAAATGTACTGCCTGGTGACCAGGTCCCTACCCTGGGTCCTGATACGGCTCAGTCCAAATAGACTTGACGTAATGAACTTTTGTGGGCCCACCATCAGCAGGAGGGACCATACAGGTTGGGTGAATAGCACTATGGGTGGCAAATATGTAATATTGGATCATTTTCCTCTAAATACATGACTAAGTATAATATTTTGTCTCATTGGTTTAACTGGTTTCTCTTTCTTTTAAGACTTGTATGAAAATCTGATGATGTTAATTATTATGCATTATTATGTGCTGTAAGTCTAAAGTCAATCCAGTAGCTTGTTCGTGTCTTAACTTTTGGTTTGAGTCATTACTCCATAACTACAGATTGAGATCCTTCAATCAACTAAGTGATGTCAGAATTAACAAGTTATAATTGTTCAGTGAATCCCTGGTTTTTGCTTCATACCACAGCTTAGCAGATATATGCAAAAGAAATGGGAAAATCTTTCAAGTCTATTCATTTTTATACTATCATTGAAGGATGAGGAGCCAAAGCTGTCTCACAACCTTCCTCTCAAACGTAACGCCTAAATAAACCCTAAAAGCTGACGGCAAGCATCAAGTGAATTATCAGGCGACACACCCCAGCTTTAATAAAAATCTGTGCTGTGGTCAGTTTATGTGGATAAACAATAAAATGGGTTTCACCTCCCTACCAACACATCTGGTTTTGAATTTAACACAAGAAAGGTGTCATACTGGACTTCATTCATGCTTTGGAACTTCTGTTCATCCATTAGTCGTCCCCCCCCCCCCCCCACCACCACCACCCCTGCAGGTATTTACCAAGCGACGCTGGAGACGAGCAGCGCTGCTCTGAGCGATCAGCACATTCCTGTCACGCCATTCCACGGCTCATGAATCGCTCGTGTTGAAAGAATAAAGAAGCTAAAGATCTCTTTCTGTCACCGTGTGTGTTTATGTAATGTACTTTGCTTGTACGGGAACCATTATTATCCTTTTGATATTACTAGCAGCGCGCAGCTGTGAAAGAACACGCCTAAATATTGCCAAAAGGATTTCAACACGGACCGAGCGCATAATGGAGCAGCAGGCCACGACACACACGGCGGGAAAGTGGGTTCATGACTGCTGGTGAATTCAAGATCAGTGCAAAGAAACCGCTAAAGGAACACAGAAATAAAGAACGATCGTAAGGTGAGGTGGAGGATGTTAATGCTGCTCAGTGTTGACTTTGAGACTGAAATGACCCATTTTTGGAGTGAATATTTACTGATAACTTTCATTAATACTGCCCTGCATTGGATCAGAGTATTGATCAGGACATAGTTCAATGATTAAAGCTGGCTCCGCTCCAGATCTGATTCGCTCTATGGGTTTGCATCAGCTGCACCACAATATGGCCGCCGTAACATGGCAATCCATGTGGTTTATTAGTTAGACGTTATAGGTTAGTTAGAACTTCCCAAACTACATGTATCTGCTAAATGCTCAAATACTGAGAGAAAAGCCGTAACTATATATACTCTAAGATTACTACTGTACTTATTTGTGTATAATGCGGAAGATTAAATTTTTAAAAAATCATGCATTTAGAGGGGTCGTATTATACACAGGAGTAAATTTCCACCGAAAAGCCAAGCACCACCCTAGCAGTGCCCCCCCCCAGGCGCCATCTCGGTGACTGTCTGCAAAGTCATCTGCTAGAACATGTCTTTAAATACTGGTTAACAAGGTGTTGTTAAAATAAATAAAATAAATACTGATATCACAATCCTTACATGATCATTTTATTGATATGCACAGAGCACAAAGGCTGCAAAATCCTGACGTCTGTTTGAGATTAGAGGTAGCA